CCGTGGAAGCCAATCGTGAACATTTGTTACGTACGTATTTCATTAGAAAAATTAGTACCCGCCTACGGGATTCGAACCCCGGTGCATCGCTATATACGAATGCACCGGACGTCTTATCCTTTAGACCACGACGACTTCTATTATATAAATAATTGGAATTCAAAATATCGTCTTGTTTTATGTTTTTATAATATGTATGATGGAAAATTTATTATGAAAGTTAAAATAGATGTCGACCAACTTGGGCGAAACTTACAACACTAATGAACAAACAGTTCATCCGATGTTTGCATTTAATAATAATAATTTTTTCTCCTACCTACGCCGAAAGTTCGGTTTTCGTCCCGCTGTACAGGGAAGAAAGTGTAACTTTTCCTCCCGCTGTACAGGGAAGAAAGTGTAACTTTTTCTCCCTTGGTACAATTGCGCATGCGCGTTAATGTCTGCGTCTGCTCTCACGCACCTAAAATTCTCCGCAATTGTTGTGCTCGGGTAATTTGCAATATTGTGTTTAGTGTAAAAGTGAAATAAACAAAAGGTAATAAAATTTAATAGTGAAGTATTAAACAGAGATGAGTTCATCAGACAGTTTTTATTCAATTAGTAGAAGTTTATTTAAAAATTAAAAAACAGTTAAATTGTTTTTTTTATGAGTACGGGGGTCTCCGCCCCCCCCTACCCTCGGCCAGGGCTTCGCCTCTGGACCCCGGCTCGGTACTCCACGAACTTTCGGCCTGGTAGGAGAAAAAATAGTATGTGCACCGCGGGAAAAAAGTTGGACATTTCCTCCCTTGGTGCTCATGTACTATTTCGTAATCACAAAAGTCTACTGTTTTTCTATAAAAACTTATTTCTATTTAGTTCGGAAACTATAAAGTATTCGAAACGTAGAAATTAATAAAACAATAAAAACGCGAGCTTAAGCCGTAAAAGCAGTTTTTTTATTATTAAATTCCAGTTCACAGAACATATATGAGTAAGTAATCAACATAGAAACGTACAACCTAACACGTTAATTTAGCTTAGATAGCTATCGACACGACGGAAGGCTCGCGTGCCTGCATCACGGTACCATAGTGCAGCATGGTATTAACATTAGCTTCAGCAAAGGTCGCTCAGCAACACGAGGTCACGTTCCGTAAATAAATCAACGCTACAAACGACCCCTGCCCGCCTGTAGATTTATAATTAGAACTTCTTTGTGTGATAATGTTTTGAAAATTTTAAAATACGTCGTATTTTTTTTTCTTTCTTTTTACTTTCTTTGCGACTTTATGTGTGCTTCATAGCACTAGACAGGTTGTTCAGAGAACGTTCTGGAATCTGAAACTAAGCAAAAATCCCGTTGTAATATTTTGTTAAAATGTAATCACTGAGCAATGCCTCACAACATCAGAGCTGGCAAGAGCTTTAGATACTAGCTGGAAACTTTTTAGGCACAATATATATAAGCAAATATAAAATTGTGGGACATATTTTGTACATACATATTTTCCTTTTTATTCCTATTAGATATCATTAATTTTATCACCTTCGATCTTAATTTTCTGGTCAATAGACTATAAATTATAAACTCGATAAAGGCCGTCGAACCGAAAAACATTTATAGTAGAAAATATCAATAATAACATAGAAACAATAATCAATTTTGCCAAAAAAAAGTTTAGTACAAAATTCTGTAATAAATTACATCATACTTCACAAAATAATAGGCATGCACAGCTAAAAACATGTTACGTAACGATAAAAGTCAACTTTTGCAATATTTTTTCTACAAATACACAATAAACCAAAAAAGTTAAACAATTGAAATGAGTCGTGGTTCAAATTATTATTTGCGTGTGCGAATCCGAGACTTGATTAAACTTTTATGATTTAATCCCACAAAACACAAACGTAATGATTTCTTTAATCAAATATCGTTCAAGTTTAAAATGCAAAAGTTAATATGAAAACAGCCGTGATTTTTAGACTTAAATTCCATAGAATGAAACGATTAATTGTATTGGATTGTATATAAACGACGAGCAAAGAGCCACACAGAGCGCATGTTACAGTTAATTATAAATTGATGCAAATTAACTACTAACTTTACTGCTACAATATTCATACGCAGTGTGCGGTCTGTCTGCTTAAATTTGATGCTGAAATCAAACTAAGTAGATCGGAAACTGTTCGTATAACATAATATTATGAAGAACAATACACACATTAAGAAGAATAACACAGAACAAACTAAGAAACCTATATGGCTCAGAGTTAAGTCACAGCGGAGGTCAAGAATAACCCGGTACACAATTCATCAGCATCCTTTGGACAGTCGTGCGAACCAAATTATAAGATTTGATAAAATCCAAATACTCAACTAAGTAAAACAAGATAATTCGACGAACGATTTGCGGAGCCGTTGAAATAAATAAATAAATAAAAAAAACCCTAACTTTGATAACGAACATGGTTTGCGCTTACATAATACTCGAGATCTTCTTATCTGTACATCTATACATATAAATAAAATTGGAGTGTCTGTTTGTAATATTGAAATAACCGCTTTTTACTACATGCATATGAATATATATACGGTACATACACCAAAATAGCATTTTTTTACAATTTTTGTCTGTCTGTCTGTTTGTTCCGGCTAATCTCTGGAACGGCTGAACCGATTTTGACGGGACTTTCACTGATAGGTAGCTGATAATATAAGGAGTAACTTAGGCTTTACTTTTTTAGACTAGCATTGCCCCGCGGCGTCACCCGCGGTACGACGGGACATAACTTTAATGATAAAATTTAACGTTTCCGAAGCGAAGCGAGGGCGGATCGCTAGTCGTGAATATAAAAGAATACATTAAAAAGCGAGAATTAAACCGTAAAAGTAGTTTTAAATGTAATATTATGAAGATAAACATTATGATTTCAAACAAAGTAAAAAATCAGGATTACAGAACATACTAGGTGTTATTTCAAGAATGCAATACATGCATACATATTTTGCATGACTTTCATTCTTTGGGAAGTAACTTTAAGCTTTTATTGACCAGACGAAAGATCTTCAAGTATTTCAAACAAGCACATGAGCTCATGCCCTAATGTAAAGCGGTCATCATAGCCCATAGACAACCCAACTTGCAAAAGAGAGCCCGCCTATAGAAAAGTCAATACGCGATGAGGTAACGGTTATCCTAAGCTAAGTTGTCGTGGCCTAAAGGATAAGAGGTCCGGTGCATTCGTGTTGAGCGATGCATCGGTGTTCGAATCTCAGGCAGGTACCAATTTTTTTAATGAAAAACGTACTCAACAAATGCTCACGATTGACTTCCACGGTGAAGAAATAACATCGTGTAATAAAAATCAAACCCGCAAAATTATAATTTGCGTAATTACTGGTGGTAAAACCTCTTGTGAGTCGGCGTGGGTATGTACCACCGCCTTACCTATTTCTGCCGTGAAGCAGTAACGCGTTTCGGTCTGAAGGCTAGGGCAGCCGTTATAACTATACTGAGAACTTATATCTCAAGGTGGGTGGCGCATCTACGTTGTAGATGTCTATGGGCTCCAGTAACCACTTAACAACAGGTGGGCTGTGAGCTCGTCCACCCATCTAAGCAATAAAAAAATAGCGGGATCGTTTAGTGGCAGGCGCAACGGTGACAAACATCCAATCCAAAAAATAGTCAATCCATTAAAAATGACAGCAGGATGCCCACTGTTAGAGAAACCACTTTATATTATAATATATTATCATCCCCGTGGCCAAGGGAAATGATAATAACACGACAAAAGCTCTATTAAAACTAAAATTACACACAGTGTCTACAAGCAATTCAAACTTGGTTTAAATTACCATATTAATACTAAAATACAAGAGTCGTAGGTGAAATAGAAGTAAAGCTAATACTTATTACAAAAGCTTTGTTCTTTGAACATCTCTGGCCTTAAAGCTGAGAGATAATGCAAACTTCGCCTGAATATAACAATTCACATTTATATCTTGTTTTTGTAGGAAATTAAACACACAGAAAATAACAACACGCCAGATTAAATCGTTTAAAACTAGTTAAAATCGTAGAAAAACTTAAAATTTATTAAATTTACACCAAACCAAATAGATTTCACAATTTAGCTTGTGATTTAAATGAACGTTTTTCAGATGATATTGAATTATTTACAACCATACTAACCTAATCTCACTTCACGAAAATAAACACGTGACCATTATAAATTTCTTAATAAACAATGACAACAACAATTTTCCGCGTCTTAACGTTTTTAAACATCATGTGGGTATTTTATTCACATTGCATTACGAAGATGGAATTAGTCAGAGGGATCTTTGCCAATCATTATTCATGATTTCGAATGTTTTATCGCCCCCTCTATATAGAGGAGTCATCGCCTCCGACGCCATGTCTACTGACGCATAATGTATATTTTTGGCTCACTTCAGAACCATGATTTACAAGAATTTATCTAATTAATCTCTCTAAGGGTCTTGATTTGACAGATTTATTAATTAATTGTAGATTAATTAGAGCAAGTTTCGTATGCAAGCAGGAATTGAACGTGACCTCACATTGCTAAATAAATTAATCAATATGTCGCACAGATTACGTTCATACATTTTAAAAATTAATTACTACATAATAATATATTTAATGATAATAAATTTAATAATTAATTACATAATAAATCAAATGAATTGTTAATTTGTCTTGACAGATACTAAGGTAGTGGACTAGAGTTCGGGCCAAAACTTGAATTACAAAGATAAACTATAGAATTGAACGATTTATCCTCGTGTTCCTCTACCCAAAATATCCACGAATTCAAATGTAATCCACTGGAAAATAATATTTTTGTTTTAATAAAAACAATTTCACGTTTAATTACTAAGAATCGTGGTAGTAATGGACGCTATAAATATGCTTCGTTCCTGGGAAAATCTTACGTCTGGCAACGTCGGTATGCGCCCACGCAAAGCTCAAACAGAGCAACAAAGCCAGCGACGGTATTTCTTCAGCTCAGTTGACTTGCAAGCTCTGCAGAGAAAACATCTCAACAAAATACCATAAAACAATTTTCAATTCGTTGAAGTGACTGTGATCTGTTTACTTACTTTTATCCAGGTATCTATCCTTTGTACTATTATACAGTATATCGTTAATATTATTTCTAACAACCAAGCCATCAGCAATTATTTTATTGTTCTTACTAAAAATGTTTTACCGCGTATTCGCTAAACTAACAGTATTTCTACGAATATATTCGTAGTTTTACTGCTTTGATGAAAACGTTCTATGACATTTATAAAATCAAAGCTTTCAGCCATCTTAAAACTAAATCGTAACGAAAATCTTTTGAAAATAAAAATTTTAAAGAATCCCAAAGGAAGTAAATAATTTCAGTTCTAGTGTGTTGAAAAAATTTTTTCCGTAACATTACACCTTTCGCGCCTGTTTATTCCTATGTAGGTCACTATGACTCAGTCAGGTATTCGCACGTTTTTAATAGACAAGAATCCTATTGTCTTGTCTTGTCTTGAACTCGCGGTACGTGACAGTAAGGCCGAACGTTTTGAACACCCTGAAGGTCAGCGGGAATGTTTTAGTAAACTACTAGCAACCCGCCCTCGCTTCGCTTCGGAAACTGTAATTTATTATTGATTTCTCCACTATTTAATGGATGTTATTATACATATAAACCTTCCTCTTCAATCAGTCTATCTATTAAAAAAAACCGCATCAATATCTGTTGCGTAGTTTTAAAGATTTAAGCATACATAGGGATATAGGGACAGAGAAAGCGACTTTGTTTTATACTATGTAGTGATAAGTAAACTTGAATATTACATTTTTTTTGTCTTAGTCATTTCAATTTCAACCTGCATTGATGATCTCATTGGCTATAACACGTATTTAATGTCAGTTTTAATAAAAGAATAAAAAGGTTAGTTCAAATTCCATTATCTCTAGATAATTTCAGGTTTTTTTTTAATAAAATTATTCTATAAATCATGTAAAATAATCAACATTCTTTATTGTTATGAATTGCAACTAATTTTTCAATGTTGTTTTTTTCATAAAAGAAATGCAATAAGAAAGAGTTCGTTGAAATTACCATGGAATTCTTGGAGAGTGTAAATCTAAAAGCGGTCCAAACATTCAGTACTGGCGCGTTGCCAACTAACGATATTATTTCCTAACAAACTTGGATTTCTTACATTGCACCACACCGAATAGAATTTTTTTTCAAACTTCCACGGCTCCGCGTATTAATCTCTTGTAAATCTATACTAATATATAAATCTACAGTGGTTTTTACAGATGTGCCGTTATAACTACTGAACCATGCATCCGATTGACTTGAAACTTGGTATCGATGTAGAAAATACGTATACTTAATGGATAGGCTAATATTTATATGAGTGCTGGACTCCCTACACCAGTTGCGGGGGTGTTAATGATGAGAATCTTTGTAGGGGTGAGAAATAATAATGTTAATTTTAAATGCCCAGCGAAGCGGACGGGTACAGCTAGTAAATCTATATTTCTAATTATAAGCACTTTATAAAACCGAACAACAACAAATCAATCTCTCTGATTATTCTAGATAGAATCTCAATCACAATGTCTGAAACTAAGAACCTTGAGGCCGGTCAGCAGCTCGTTAAGCGAACCATGGACGAGCTCATCCAACAGAAGCAGACGACTGAAAAGGTCACGATCCAAGCTAGACAGGAATTCCGCGAGTCCTTCGAGGAACATTACGAAGAGGAGTTCGAAGAGGAAACGTTTATTGATGAATTAGGCAACTCCACAACCAAGAGAGTCGAATCCAGCAGCGAAAGTAAAGAACATTCTAGAAGCGCTGACGTCAAAGTGAAAGCGACGGGATTAAACGCGGAACAAGTTAAGGCTTTAACCGACTGCGCAAATGAGGCGGGACAGCTGGCGCTCGACTCCAAGCCTGCAAACTAAACAACGTAATAACGAATTTATTGTTTTCGACGTAACACAACCCTAAGTTTGAGTCAAATTCATTTGAGTTAACACTCCAACCAGCATGTTTATATATACACACAATTTCACATAGCCAATTAATGTCAATGTCGTTATTTCTCAATAAGTAACAAAATCAATATTAATAACAATCCTTAAAACAATATTTTGTTTCAGGTTTGCTAGGAAAGTTCATGGAGTGATTCAAAGAGTGTTTAAGACTGTGTCCAGTGTTCCTTATTCTGTATAAGTTTAATTATATGAAAGTGCAATAAAAGTTTTTACACAAAAAAAATATATATATATTATATTATTACTTAAATGAGTGTAGTGTCAGAATACGTGTGCTAGTATATGATTAGGTAAAACACAACAGTCAGCTTACAATGGAGGAAGAGGAAGATGAGAGAAAAAACCGTCGACCAAATCTGGCGGCTTTTAGCTCATTGAATGCCCGCGTGGTGCATTCCTCTTTGGAGGAGGGCTATGTACGACAACAGGCCTCTTCAGAGTCGGCAGACGCGAACACTTGCTCGAGTATTTCAACAGCACAATACAGCGACCGAAGTTTTATATCTAAAACGAGCACGTTTTCGCGTAGCGGCACTTCGAGCTCGAGCCAAGAGGAGTGCGAAGTGGCGCAGGCGACGGTAACGACCGGTCAATTTCTGGCAGCTGCAAGAGTCGAAACCGCTCGATCAATGGAGAGTCTCCGTCCAAGTAAAGACACCTCCCCGGCGCGTCCGGCCAGCTCGTGCACCTCTGTTCGTAGTCACCGAAGCTCCTTCTTAACTGCAAGCGAGCGGGATGTACGCGAAAGCCGCGGCCTACCCGCCCGGCGCGCTCTTTCTGGTGAAGACATGGGTACTTCAGCCGAGAAACGACGCGGTTTGTTCGCTAGCACCGATCGTCGTGCTCTTCAACAGCTCAGTCTGCCACCTCCTGAACGCAGGCTGACGATCCTCAGCCCGCACAGTCCTATGGCTGTGATGACGGAACTCCAGTGGCCGGTCCCATCCGGCATTCGTGGTAGACGCAAGAAAGGAATGGTGCTGCCGAAACTGATTCTTCCACGCACCGATTCTGAAGCATCCGAGGTTTTTATCGAAAGGTTGTTACAATATTATTATTATTTACGAATGTAGCTTTTAAAATAAATCTGAAACATATACAATTTTAATAACTTTATTTTCTTCCTATTAAGTCTCTAATATCTTGATCAGAAACAGTTGGAAGCCAAAGGGTTTTTTATTGTGCCTTGAATGACGGTAGAATCTACTTTTGTTCTTGATACGCTTCGGTTTGTACAAAACGCAATTTTTTAGTCTCTAGCTAACGATTCATAATTTAATTTAGTGCCAAACAGCACGGAGCTTTGAAATGTAAAAAACTTTGTTCCGATCAAAAATAAAAAATCTACATAATAAAGTTCCAGTATCTTTCATTGGAAATTTAATTATAATGAGTGTCCATCAATGTCGTGTCCATCAAGAGTTTATTTCGGTAGATCACACATGTTTGAAGTTTGTTTGTTTTGGTGGACTGTTAAATCCGATTCACTTTTGTATTTCATACCCTTTGTTTTCAGACGTTACAATAATTTTGTTAGAAATGATCGTAATTTGATGAAAAAATTCTCGAGGCCAACGTATTCTTCAAGAGAGGATAACACAACGAAACCGGCTTCTTCATTTCTAAATTTTTTAGCAGCTAATACGAGGAATCTGAAGTAAGAATAACAGCATTGTAACCGACGCAACGGCCGAACACATGTTTTCATTAGGCTCGTTAGCCGACCTAAATGAAAATAATGTTTGCCACGTTCTTGAGAACAAACGCAAATCTACTAAATCTTTGAACTTTTGCTACCGAGAACAAAATTTCACATACAATTCAACAATGACTTAGAAGAACGGCTTTTAAAAATCGTAACTTGTAATCGTAAGAGATTGTAATAGTCTTACGATTTATTTTTTTATTGCTTTTATTGGCGGACGAGCTCACAGCCCACCTGGTGTTAAGTGATCACTGGAGCCCATAGACATCTACGACGTAAATGCGCCACCCACCTTGAGATATAAGTTCTAAGGTCTCAAGTATAGTTACAACGGCTGCACCACCCTTCGAACCGAAACGCATTACTGCTTCACGGCAGAAATAGGCAGGGTGGTGGTACCCACCCGCGCGGATTCACAAGAGGTCCTCCCACCAGTAAAAAACAGTGACAGTACATACAGTACAGGTGATACAAAAAGGTGGTCACGACCCTCAGCAGTGAGGAATACGACACAAGGAAGATGACAGTACATATAAATCTGCTTTCAGACTACGCTATAATATAATAGTATAATAATATAGCTCATAGCACAATAATATCGCGCACTATACATTTTTATGTACATGTTCACACTGTACTGTACTATGTATTATTGGCTAAGTATACGCTGATATACTATATTGCAAAATAGTATAGCGTAGTCAGAAAGTAGCTTAAGACATTTTTGTAACACTACATATCAACCAGTCTAGCAAATGTGTCAGCTGCTACTCGACTTTAGTTAGTAAAAAAAAAGGGCGCGTGTACTTATGTACGCGCGTAAGAAGTTATACTTTATTTTTATTAATGTTATTTCTTTTTTTTTATTTAAATTTTAATCAATTTGAAGAAAAATCGATTAAACAACATCCTCAAACACGCATATTGGACATCCCTTTTCTTGACATCGTATAAATTCGGTAATTCTTGGTACCTACGGTTCGGAAAGTTCACTTGCGACTATATTCAGACTCGCCAAGTTACGTCGGTCGTATTGTAATGAGCGATTTAGTGGGCAACTTCATTTCTGTTAATTTTGTGTCACGGTGCGCGCGCATCGTAAAATTTCACTCTCATCAATTTTTCATAACGCGCCTAAAGAAGTATAACTTCAAAAAAGGGTTTCTCTAATTTAATTATTTACCCTAGTATCTGAACATTCTGCGATCTTGTAGACCAGATTAAAATGTCCATTTCATTTATTTTCCATAAGAGTGCTACGCTTTTTATTTCTGTTAACGGTTGACTGCACGGATCCAATTAATAAAAACATCCGCAGTACAGAATAAATTTTATACACTGGAGTTTAATTTTAAAATTTGAACAACTTGTAAATTACTCCCTTGAAAACATATTAAGAACAAAACAAAAGATTTATATATTTACAATATTCTGTAGTTTTCCAGATCGTAGTATATGTTTAAAACTTATTTTCGGACATAGTCTCGATTTTCTTATGTTCAATTTTTTCTGAGGTTTCAAATAAATACTTGACAGTTTCCGTGGTCACACACAACTACGATATCATTATTCGACAATTGAATTTCAATATTTTCTGGTTTTTAATGCTGTATGTACATAAATCAGGGAAGGTTCCTAGTATATAGAGCCATGAATATAAGGCGTTCAAGTAATTCCAAGTAATACAGATTTTACAGCACACAGCGAAACATTTCGAAAATCTTGTAGTTTCTTATAAAATGTAATAATGATATTTACATGACTCCGTCACGATCCATTATTATCAATGACAAATTGATAAATATTCATTTATCAAAATGTAATTGATACGATTACAATATCATTAGTACACGGGCGTTATCAACGAGATAGTGAGATCGCATTGAAAACTATCTGATAACGTTTACCCGACACTGAAGAGGTGTCTCGATAAGCTGGCGTAAATAGTCGGCAAACATACACCCACACTTCTAAATGTTTTTGATCTAAGAATGTTATATTGATAAGATCAATGCTTTTTTTAAGTGTAACTAATTTTTAAAAAGTGATGTATCAATTTTAACACAAAATCTGAATGTATGATTGATATGAAATAGAAAAAGGCATAAAGGCGAACCTGTATCTATACTAATACTAATATTATAAAGAGGAAAGATTTGTTTGTTTGTTTGTATTGAATAGGCTCCAAAACTACTGAACCGATTTGAATAATTCATTCACTGTTTGGAAGCTAAACTATTTCCGAGTGACATAGGTTATATATTATATTGAAAAAATTAGGGATCCTTACTAAAACCCAAGGTGTAAAAAAATTACCTAAAATATTCTTTATATCGCGTGTCCTGCGAAAATTATTGATGATAGAATAAAATGATGTACTACGAATTTATAGAACACATTATTAGTTACAAAAAATGTCGTAATAGCATATGTCTAACTATTATAGTTATCCCGCAATAAGTGCTCCTTTATTTTTTTAAATAAAACAACGTCAAATATTCGTTGAAATTTTTGTTAAAAATCCGAGCGGAGCCGGAGCGGGCCGCTTGTTGGCTAATAAAATGCCATCAACATAAGCGTTGTTGTGTTCGTTGGATTGTCGATGACTATGGAGGATTTAACTGGCAAAATAAGATAGATACTACTGCCAATACTCTGTTCACATCGACCACTAAATAGCGGGAGTTGCAAGTCCGTAAATTCTTGAATAGCACGAGGAAATCCCTACAAAATCCTCTAGACCAAAAAACCTGTCAATCACAAGATGACACTGTTTATTACTCTAAATAAGCAAACAAGCTCACAATCCACCTGATGCTAAGTCGTTACTGAAGCCTACCGAAATTACAACATGAATACCGCCCTCTAGTTTGATAATAAGAATAATAGAACATAAACTTTAACTAATTTCTGGCTGTTTGTCTGTTCGTCTGAACAGATTTTCATTTGGTTTGAACAGATACATAAAGTTTAATTTGGTTAAACAAACTTCATTAAATTGGGATGTTGAAAATTTATATTAGCTTTTTTTTTATTGCTTAGATGAGTGGACGAGCTCACAGCCCACCTGATGTTAAGTGATTACTGGAGCCCATAGACATCTACAACGTAAATGCGCCACCCACCTTGAGATATAAGTTCTAAGGTCTCAGTGTAGTTACAACGGCTGCCCCACCCTTCAAACCGAAACGCATTACTGCTTCACGGCTGAAAAGGGCAGGGTGGTGGTACCTACCCGTGCGGACTCACAAGAGGTCCTACCACCAGTAAAAAGCTATTGTGAATTAAAAAAAGTTTGTGACTACAGAACTATTCTAGACCTCCCTTCTAGCAGAAATAAATAGTGATTGCATGCCAAATCTTAAATAGCACATTCGAAATTCAATTCGAATTTTACGACAGGCGACCTCATGTGTGGGGATTTCTTTTATAAGCATAAATACATTACATTACAGAACATAAAAATTCAGTACAACACCTAAGAAAAAGGGAAAAAAGGATTCCCTAAATCAAATTACATTTTATGTTAAAACTATAAAGCTTTTGACATCTAATAATGCCGCCTTATTTTAAAATATTAAGGTACTTAAGCTACAGAGCGTATAAACGTAATAGATAATAAATACAAATAATATCAAACTACACGAGTAGGTACGCTCGTAAAACATTATCCTCGTCATTCGGCAACCGGGCAAAACCGATTTTACGGCTCAGCTTCGAGCAAAACTCATTTCGCATTTAAAAATGAAAAACTGTAAAATTTTATTTCAGTAATATGTCTATATCTCGTGAAAATCTCAGAAAAGATTTCAGTATTATTAAAACGGTCTGGGGGTATTCGCAAATTCAACTGTTTCTCTGTACCACAGTTTCTGATTACTATTATGAATAATTTTTAGGCAGCGGCTTGGCTCTGCCCCTGGCATTGCTGAAGTCCATGGGCGACGGTAACTACTCACCATCAGGTGGGCCATATGCTCTTCTGCCTACAAGGGCAATTTTTTTTTTTTTCATGTCTATGTAGCGGAATCTGTCTGAATAATTTTCACTAACTTCAAGACATTTGATTAACTTATCAAGGACTCATATCGATACAATAATTTTATTACTTTATCCAAATATACTGATCAGGGTCACCAATTTAAAACAAATATTACATTATTACACATTTTTTGTTCAATTCAATATCGCAGAATATCCGATGCATTNTTTTTTTTTTTTCATGTCTATGTAGCGGAATCTGTCTGAATAATTTTCACTAACTTCAAGACATTTGATTAACTTATCAAGGACTCATATCGATACAATAATTTTATTACTTTATCCAAATATACTGGTCAGGGTCACCAATTTAAAACAAATATTACATTATTTTCCATTTTTGGTTCAATTTAATATCGCAG